TGCATGTGTGTGTCTGCATCATTATGTATTCCTGATCATAGCACACAGTTCTTTTGGCCCCTGGCCATTCAACCTTTGCTCATTCTGAACAGCATCTCCCAGCCACAGTCCAATCTGGCCGTCAGCCTCCTACTGTCACATACACAACACCTTACTGGCACCCAGTGGTGAAAGGAGGTACTGCATCCACTTGATGCTTGGCCGACAGCAGGGGGAGATGGAGATGATTGTTTACAAGTGGCATTTGCCCCTAATTAAAAGCAGCACTTGTTGGAGCACTTGGTCTGCAGGAGGACTAGCATCCACGGTGACGCAGGCTGGCCCACTGATCCTGTGGTAAGCCTCCTCCACTCTGCAGAGACACACAAACACAAACATCATATCAGGAAATGAGGAAAGTAAGCATATAAACAGTACAAATTACACTTTTAATTACACAGAATATTTTTGATTTTCTGGACTTTTGGGCAATCCGGCTGCTCACAGTCTTGGCGAGGAGTAAGGAGAGGGATGAAATAGAAAAATATTGAAAATGTCTTCATGAAAAAGCAACACAGATGGCCATTTCCTGTGACAAATGAAGAATCAGAATGACTATCTTTCACTCGCCCCAGCAACCCAGTCACCTCTCTCCATTCTCCTACTCTGCTGGCCCAACATCTGGCCGTCCCGTGTGGAAAGGCCATTATGTCAGGACAGAGGATGAATGAAAGTAGCCATCGACCTGTCTTCGCAGCGACTAACAGGGCAGCCAGTGTCTGCGAGTTTTGACCGGCTTAATGGAGCACAACAGCTCAGCAACTAATCACCTGTTCTTTCTCATCAGCCGCTTCCCCCCGTGGGACAGTAATTGATTGTTAAGTGTTTGATGGATCAGACTAAGACAGAGCTGACCTGACTCAGTGAAACGAGCTGTACAGTGTGAAGCCCCCATCTGTGTTTTTTTTTTTTATGTTTTCACACTCAGAGAGAACTTCTTTATTATCACAGACTGGAAAACAATTGTCCACACATGTCACACAGTTAAGGGTATCTACTGAGATTTCTCTCACTCTCTTTTTTGTGGTTGTTCATTACCCCCTCTGGTTGCAGAAGAACTCTTGTGCTTGATTTACGACAGATTAAGAGTCCGATAATGCCATCAGTAGACACCTTTATGAGAGAACTTTGTTATGTTACGATGTACACTTGCTAGAAAATATCCATAGAATACAGTTATTCAGTCTGACACCTTATAATACTGGTTTGAAGTCTTGTTTATTTTCAAAACTGGAGGGAATTGTTTATGAATAGTTCTTTTCCATTGCAAATTTACTTAAGTTTTATCCTTAGAGGACAATAATGTGTGTTACAATATTTTCAATGATTATGTATTTACACTAGTTGAATTGCAATCATTTTTCCTAACAGGACTTTGCTGCTTCGTTTAGATCAATGGATCCAGATATCAAGAATTTTCATTTGGCTTTTTGTAGATTCAGGTGTTCAATTTCACAATTTTGTGATGTTTAGTAGACTGAAAAATAACTGGAGTAATGAAAGTTATTAATTAAGTAATTTAAGCTGCCTCGAATTTTAAGTGCATACGTGGAAACTTGTCAAATCGACAAAAAACATGTAAAATGTAAAAAAAATAATAATAATAAATGTAATCTAGATATCTCACTTGAGTCTGAAAAGCTGGTTGTGGTCTAACTCTTGCTCCTCTGCAGTCTCTCCTTGACCTCGGTCCCTCAGCCTCCTTTTTCTCTCCTCAGGGTCCAGTGTGAGTAAGACCACCAGGCTGGGCTGCAGCAGGTCAGTGGGCCACCTGTAGACCTCTGAACCCTCTGCTGGAAGGTTGCACACAGGACCACTCACTGCTGTGGCTATGGCATAGGCTGCTGTGCTGTGCCAGAATCTGGGGAAAGATAATGGATTTAACAGCAGAAGATGGATAGATAAATGGACGATCAGGCACAGGAGCATGGGGGTTTCACTGAATTCAACTTTTAGATCCCTGTGGAATGGATCTTAGTCCCCCCTCTCTATCAGAAAACAGGTCGGAAAACAGGCAAACTTCACAACACCTCAGCTGTCTGTACCTGTCAACGATGACAGGTGTCTTCATTCCCTCCTGGCCTATTGCCTCAGCTGTGATATAATTCCCTACAGCGTAGAAGGCCCTGCGGAAGAGGGGCGGCTCCCGATCAAAGCGGGCCCTCAAGGGGGACAGGCACTGGGGAGGCGAGCGAAGAAGAGTGGCTCCAAGAGCATTCTTCAGAGACTCAGTCAGCGTGGTCTTACCTGTGAGGGAAGGAGCAAAGGGTGAGTTCAAAAATTAAAGGTGTAATAAAAACATAAGTTTGGGTACATTTAAGGAGAAAAAAGAGAATATTTGTTTGTGTTTCAAAGTGATGCTTAACCCGCCATCCTTCCTACATGGGTGAGTTTTGTAAAGAGTATTTGATGAGCGAGATCTTCAATAAAACATTTCCACATTGCTATAACTTCTCTGAGGTCATGACACGTGATCCTCCATTAGGCCAGACTCACCAGCAGATAATAGGTTTAGCAGAGAATAACAGGCCATCTCTCTTAAATGAGACATCTATACATCAAACTGTTTCAAAGTAATGGCATTAACCTGTGGCATCCAGGCCCTCTATGACAATAACAGGGAAGTCTGGTTTACTTCTGGCCTCCACTCGGCTGGGCAGCAGCTCCAGAACAGATGTCGCCTCTGGGATGATGTCAGCGCTCTGCGGCACAGACACAGTCAGAGAAGAGGCAGGAGGGAATACACACTACAATGGACCAGCTTGCACTCATAGACACATCCAAGAAACTAGAGCATCTTTTGGGCTTCACTGCTACACCCTCAGCTACCACACCGGGGTGCCATTTTGCCACATCATGCATTTACAGAAATTGAGCATAATCACACCACAATAATATTACTCTGACATCACACTCAGGATAGGAAGCTCAGATACTGTTATTATGTCATACTGCTGGATTCAGGTTTACTAGTTGTACAGATAAAGAATTTAAAATAAACATTTTAGGGGTTTATCAAATGTTAGAGCTCCTATTAGGAGTTTTTATCTGGTCATACAAAAGACTGAAATAAAAAAAAAAAATCATCCTTCTTTATAACCTACAGCAAATAACTATTTCAAGTGTGTTTTTATCTATTGTCATATCAAATGTGCTGTGTAAATAAACTTGACTTGACATTACACAAGAAACATTTATTTTTGATGAAGAAAAGAAGCCATGAGAGTAAGACCTGCTGTAAGAGTGCCAAATCCCATTTCCATGATATCCACTGTTTCCTTTTGTGCACATTTTCATGTTACTAAATAAATGTGTCTTTATTTAAAGCATATGTATAACCCTGTAGTGCAGTACTATCAGAGTGAAATTAGCCACTTATAAGCAAACAGAAATACAAGATGTAGCTGGTGGCTGAAAGATAATGCATAACATTTTTATATTTGATTGTGGTAACACCTGAGTAATAATACATATGTTACACATGGTTTCATGACGACAATTTGACAAATGTTCTACATTTGCTTGCCAGCAGTATGATGTGAGCGTCCCCACCCCTCTCATTAGAATGACGTCGAGTTCAAATGGAATATGGTCAATATCTTGGCACCGTTTGCTTTTATAATTGCAAAACAGGCAAATGCATTTAATAACGGGACATAATTAACCTCTTTCAGAACTTCACAGGCCTCCTCAAAGTTGTAGAAGACATCGGAGTTGATGATGTTCAGAGTAGCTGGGTGAGATTCTGGCGCCTCGGATGGCACAACACAGAAATCCCTCGACATTTCCACCGCCCGGTTGTCTGACTCTTTCCACAGACACTGAGTCCACTGCTGGCCGTCCTCACCTCTCAGGTATGAACACACAAGCACTGGCTCATGCTGAAGTAACTCTCGCAGAACTCGCTCGGACAGAGATGCGCTCGGAGACGTGTCTTTTAAAAAGTAGCCTTTGAGGAGAGAGTCTTTGACATTTGGCAGGAATGAGCACATGGGAGACAAGGCGCACTCTTTCGGCATTTCTCTCAACAGTTTCTGCTTCAGCTCCGCGTAAAACTTGGCTCCCTCGACTCTATCGCTGCTGCAGACGAGGAGAGAATAACACCTGTCGTTGTTTTGGACATTGCTGAACACACGTGACACTTCTTTCCCCCGGCTCTTTTCTTGTATTGAAAAATAGACAGGTTCTCCATCCAGCTCGACTGAAAACATCCGAGAGGACCACCGTGGAAGGAGAAGAAGAGACATGGTGCGACGAGCCATCTGTTACAGCTGCAGTCCCGGTCAGCAGTCTAAGCCTGCTTCATTGCAGCGAGTTACACTAAGTCAGTGTGGGCCGCTGCAGGGGAAAACGAAAGTAAGTCCACCATGCTGGAGAAACGAAACTTATCGAGCACAGTCAGCTGGTGACACACAAGGGCAGCACGTTTATTGCTGATTATGGGAAACTCAGAGTTATGTTTAAATAGAAATGGCACTGAAACTGCTGGGTGTGTCACAGTGAGGTGTTGTTTACTTGGCAGCTGCTCACCATGTCAATCTTACTGGGGCGAGAGTACGAATTAGCCGACGTGAACTGTAGAAAAGTGATAGGCTGTTATAAAGTTTAAATAATAAAACAGTGTATATAATGTAGGCTAATATAAAAATGTTGAGAAAGGCATAGGTCTACTCTAGACAAAGTTTGGGCGTAACTATTTTTACTTTTTTTTTTTTTTTTTTTGCAAAACACGAAAAGTTTGCCAGCATGTACAAACAGACAATGCTTGCATTCCTTTCAAAGCTGAATAATCCTTAGTATGCAGAGTAATGTGTGCTCACAAGCTAAGGATGAAAAGTCTGGCAAAATTAAATAAATAAAAAAATTTAACTTCCTGTTAAAGTCAAATGCACCTTTAAATGTGTACGCCCGTATCATTACGATGATCTAAGTGCTTATTAGCCTACTATAATTGGCTGGTTACAATTTCACGAGTCACACTTCATCAGAGTCATTTTCCACCCACGCCACACTAACTTTCGTTTTCGGTGTTTGTAAACAGAAACTCAGCTGCCCAGCTGATCGACTTTCCGTCCTCTCTCTCTCTCTCTTCATGGTCCACCCCTGCAGCCGTATATTTAAGGAGCATCGGCTTCAGCGAGCAGGACAGGTGTGATAGGTGTTTGAAGATGGATCTCTCCTCTGTGTTCGCGTCTTCCATGCTGCTGCTGCTGCAGCTCTGCATCCGCTCCCTGCAGCTCTGCATCCGCTCCCTGCACTACTTTCTGGCCAGCTTATATTCCAAAATTTGTGACTGGAGAGCCGGAGTCTGCAGGGCAACAATCTCACCTCCGCCTACTCACAGCAAACTGGAGGAAAATAAAGTCCAAGATTCGACGACTCCAACAAGCGTTAACTATCATTTCACACGCAAGTGTAACTACAAATGCGGATTTTGCTTCCACACTGCGAAAACATCGTTTGTCCTGCCTCTGGATGAAGCCAAGAGGGGCCTCTCACTTTTGAAGGATGCTGGTAAGTTAGACAAATCAATAAGTATTCTGATCTTTTGCAAAAGTAGCCTACCTAACCTCTTTGCATAAAGTTAAATGTATCTCATTGTTTGTCAAGGCATGGAGAAGATCAACTTCTCCGGGGGAGAGCCATTCTTGCATGATAAAGGAGATTTTCTTGGGAAATTAGTTCAGTTTTGTAGACTGGAACTTCAACTCCCAAGTATCAGCATCGTCAGCAACGGAAGCATGATTAAAGAAAGTTGGTTCCAGAAATATGGTAAGTCGTCAAATTAGCGTCAGTCATGTTTTTTCAACTCTTTGTATTTATAGTCAATGAAGAACACTCCTTGAGCTGATGCAAATGATCTACATCATCTACATGATCCGCTCACTCCATCAGGTGACTATCTGGACATCCTGGCCATCTCTTGTGACAGTTTCAATGAGGAAACCAACCAGCTGATCGGCAGAGCTCAGGGCAAAAAGAGCCACCTGGACAACCTTTATAAGATCTGCAGCTGGTGCCAGCAGTACAAGGTGGCGTTCAAGATCAACTCTGTTATCAACACATTCAACGTGGATGAAGACATGACGGAGTCCATCACGTGGCTTAACCCAGTGCGCTGGAAGGTAACACAAGAAAACAGAGAGTGTATGTTTTGGTAGAAAAGGGACACAGGCTCAAGCTTTTTTTTTGTGTTTTCAGGTGTTCCAGTGTTTGTTGATTGAAGGGGAAAATGCAGGAGAGGAGGCCCTGAGAGAGGCAGAGAGGTTTGTCATCAGTGAAGAGCAGTTCCAGGAGTTTCTGGATAGACACAGCAGTGTCTCCTGCCTGGTTCCAGAGTCCAACGAGAAGGTAGGACTTCAAATATGATTGTAGTTCTGAGTCTTTTTTTAAGTAGCATTGATGTACCATATAATCCTTGTCCGTCAGCATAGTTTTGCCTGGTAGCATGCTAACATTTCTGAACTAGTCATGAAGTAAAGTTGAGGCTGATGGGGATTGTATCAGTTTGCAGATGTTTAATTGTAGATTTAAGTGAAGAAAAGTAAAAAAAATGTTGACAGAAAAAAGGACAAAGTCGTGAGGTAAAGTCAAAGGATCACCAAAGTCATGAAGATTAATTCATTTGAGTACAAAATCTCCATTCAATAGACATCCTTCTTACATCTGTATTTTTTTTTTTTTTTGGGACCCAACAGTAGGTCGCAGGGCAGTTTTCAGTGGGTCGTGAAAAAGTTTGATCATATGATATCAAACATAGTTAAAACAACAACACAATGTTTTGTGTTGTTGTTTTAACTATGTTTGGCGAATATGTTTGGCGAATATCGGCGAATGGCCGATCAGCCACATCTCACTATCTCTTGGTCCAGCTTGTTTCCACTTTGGCACAGGCCACGCCTTTAGGTGGTGGATGAAGGAAATGAGAAATAAAAGAAGATAAATTCACCCTGCATCCTGTCAGAAAAGAGATTAGGGATTGTATTAGGGACGCAGCATCATCAGTTATGTTCAGAGCATGTAAATAGTTGGACAATATTAAGAATAAGTGTAAACCAAAAGTTAATATGTGTTGTCTTCTTTACAGATGAGGAATTCCTACCTGATCCTGGATGAATATGTAAGTACCTTCTATTGTTGATAACACACAACTCTTAATACTCATGTGATCCTTTCCTTTAACCATAAATAGAAATGGGCCTGTAAGTTTGGTGGACAGTTTGTTTTTGATTGCTAATACTGAAGGGCAAGGCTTAAGTTTGGCCCAATTTAAAAACACTCAAGTTTTTTTTAATGATTTGTCTGAGGTCAAATAAAACTCCCGTGTTTTCCTTCTAAGTGTGACATTCACAGGTAACTAACAACATCTAAGGACAACATTTAAACCTTTAACTGATTCACTCTTTCTTCTTTTTTTCAGATGCGATTCCTGGACTGTCGAGAGGGAAGGAAGGACCCATCCAAGTCCATCCTTGATGTCGGTGTGAAGGAGGCCATATGCTTCAGCGGCTTTGATGAAAAGATGTTTCTGAAGAGAGGAGGGAAATATGTGTGGAGCAAAGCCGACATGAAGCTGGAGTGGTGAAGATCTGCAGCAATGACAACTTTTTTATTAGTCGTAGCACTAATCTTTTGGACAGTATTATTATTATTCGTTTGTATTTCTTTACAGAACTTCATGTCCTTCATATGGTTTGATAAAAAAAACTGTGAATATGTGAAATTCTATGATAGAAGCTTGCACAAAAAAAAGCTTGCAATTTTTTGTAATATGTGAAAAAAAAATATATATTGATGTTTCCTTGCATTGCATGCACTTGTATTAGCAAATGTAACAGAACAATAAAGTTTATTTTTCATTATAACATCTGTTGTGTTTTGGTCATTATCTTCCATTATGTCTGATTGGATTTATTCGATTGATGTCCCTGCAGGTGGGAAACAGTTGACAGTGCATCACTTTTTATTTAAGTTAACTGGTCATAAAAATGTTTCCTGAAATGACCTCCCCATTATAGAAGAACACAAATGGGCCAATGATCTGGTTCTTCTAATAACTTGTGTTCCAGGAAAGAGGAAGAAACCTTTTTTGAATGGATGCCATAAACCTTGAGCCAGTTTTTCCTGTTTTTGAGTTTATTGTGTAGCAAATCTGTCAGGTCATCAACCCAACCGCTGCTTAGTCAGCACAGTTTGCGTACATTTTAATTGTTGCTTAACTGAGCACACTGTCCTCTCCACTTACACTCAAAGTGCAGGCTGCTGCTTCTTGGTAAAAGACAGCTGTATACAGAGATCCTTATATTGATATAAAAGCTGATCAGAGCTGGGTCAACTAAACGAATAAGTAAAGGTAGTTGGACCCAATACGAAAGGAAAACAGTGGATATAAGTCTTCAAGTACTTCATGGTTCTACCTCTGACAATGTCTGATATAGTTTCAATAAATCGACTACATACAGGTTGTATGAGGTCATTTGTATTTGCATATTTTAACTAAGGTTTCACTTCTTGCAAATTAGAGATCATATGAATGTGATTCTGAAACTTAAACGACATCATGATCTACAGACTGAAAGACAATTTGAGTAAAGGAGAATCAGGTCTGCTTTAGCTGATTTCCTTTCACACAATTTGACCAAAAGGAAATAAAAAAAATAAAAAAAACAGAAACCAAACTACACCTCCACTTATATTTTTTCATTGTTATGGTTTTAACTGAATATTTTGAGAAATAGTTGCAGGTGCTCATGTTGAAAATGAGGCCTAGATGAGAACATTAACTTAGAATAAGCTTCATTGACTAAGTATGCTGTAATACTGTAGACTATATATATACTTAAAAGAAAAACATACTTTAGGTTTGAAGTTGCTGTCATTGATACAGCCCAGGAAGTAAGAAAGAGATACATAGCTAGCGATAAGGACAACAAAAACATGGAATAATAATTTAGCCTATATCAATTGGTGAGGATTGTGAAACGTCAATATAAAAAATATGCATCTATAGAGTTTGTGTATAAAGTAGGGTGCACATATTTTACTATGATGGATGATATGTGCAGTGTGCATATAAAACTGTAAATGTAGAATTGATTTTTTTTTTTTGCCATTATAAAGGCTGTATTATTTGTCTAATTTGCTCAACACTTGTAAAATAACCAGGTGCAGAAACTAGTTTCTACCACTAGAGGGCAATATAAACGTAACAATTTTAATTCCAACCATAGATTGTATTCATAGACTGTAAATATTGAGACTGTATTACAGTCTTTTTTCAAATTAATAATTTATTTTATTTTATTTTATTTTTATTCCTCATATAATATCATTAACAAGCAAAGTCTGACCTTCACACTTTTAAATGGGCACAAAGTGGACAATTACAGACACAAATTAATAGCCTACGTTCATAAGACAAACGTTTTAGAATATGATAGACTAGTTGTAGAAAATATACTGAGGCGTCTATTCAGGAATCAAGAAGTATATATATATTTTTTGTTAATCTCAGTTTTCAACCAGTCAGACGCTTTGAAAAAGGGGGTTACAGCTTTTCGCCAGCAGGGGGAGCTGTCGTTTGTGTAAAGGGGACTGGCGACTGGGCTCTGCTGTAAAAACGCAGACGGGAACCCTCTCACGAACAAATGGCGTCCCTCCAGTGCGAAGCAGATGATTTCCCACCGAGCACGGCAGCAGGGACGGCGGAGAGGTAAACACACCGCCCCCCTGTTCGCTTCCTGTGCAGCCAGAGAGCCTGGTGCTTTCCGCGGGATCGTGTTGCTGGCTGTCGGCTGGACGTTGCGCACTCCTCGGTAATCGAGATTATACCGCTGTTCCGGCGTGCAAACAATCCTACTGTCAGGCAAAACAGAGGAGAATCTCAGCTGCAGCTTATTCTCTCCATCTGTTTGTTTATTTGTCTAATTTCACCGATGGTGGTTGGTGTTCGGGTTCACCCGGGCCTGATTTCAGGCGTTGCACGCGACAGTAGCAGGTCAAATGTTTCCACCCCGACGTCGGAGGGACATATAATGAACATGGGCATTACCCCCTCACAAATATCCTCCTCCTCCTCCTCCTCCTCCTCCTCCTCTTCCTCCTCCGACGCCTGACTGGTTGGCTGTCTCTCCGCTAATCCAATTCAGAAGATCATCTTTTCCACCTTTTCCCTGAGGTTACACCATCAAGACGGCGTTGTCTCAGAAAGCCAGGTAAGGTTTGCTGCTTTTATAGCGTGTTGGGGGATCAGCTGTAGCACTTTATGTCCACCCTGTCTTTATTAGAAACCACTGTCGCATTTTATTTTCGCCATTTCCTCGCTTTTACACCAAGATATGTTGCTCTTAGCTTACAATTGTCAAGCTTGTTAACTGTTTGTTGGCCTGTCTTGGAACAAACTGCTGTTGGGGATGGATGACAAAGCTTTGGCTGCAGGTAGCTGCTTAAAAATGACATCAGTAGCCTACGGTGTTGTGTGTGTTGTGTGTGTGTGGGTGTGTGTATATGTGCGTGTTGCTGACACTTGATCAGAGTTGCTGTAGTTGTTGTTCAATCATGTTTGTTTCTCATAGAGCAGCTGCAGAGTGGAGCTCTGAAAGGTCACTCTCTCTGCCCTGCTATTTCCATTTTAAGCAGCATGTCCCCCCTCAGGGTACAGTCAGATTATAGGCAGAGCAGTGAAACCGGGCTACTAGACAAACAGAGCATCTCTGCAGTCAGTGTTAGCCAAGGCTGTGAGGTTTGTGCTTCATCAAATGCATCATCTCTGTCCCACCTGAACGGAGGGTTTTTGTCTTTTATGCAGTCTGATCCTCCTCTAAAGTTGGCTCACATGAATAGTATTATTCTCAGGGACATGTGTTTTAAATCTTGTAAACTAAGGAAACACATTTATGGTTTTAGTTCTTGTGTGACATGCTCCATGTCATTTATTTGCACATGTTTATAAGTGCCAGCCTTTGTCTGTGTGTAAACTTGATGAAATATGTGGAAATAAAGTCCTTCCTGTTGTTACTCTTCGCTTTTAAGAACCCTCCCATTGTCTGCAATTGATTATCTCTCCAATTTCATATGACTGGAAACACAGGCTTGCTCTTCCTCTGACAGACATGTTTAGGGAATGTAGCATTTCCACACACACACACACACACACACACACACACAGAGACACACACACACACATGCACTCACGCACTATATGCGCTGAAGAGTGATGTTGTGATGCACTTTCCCCCCTTGCTCCTCAGAAAGCACCCTGTTCCCATCGGGGGAATAAAAAGCATCACACTCCCTGCTGCAGATTTGTTCAAAACAAGAAAAAAAAAAAAGCTGGTCTGTACAAAACAGCAACACATTCCTCAAGACTGGCCAGCAGTAGTCAGCTTTGTTTCCCAGAGGAGAGAGGAGATATGTTTACTTAAAGAGTGAGAAGGCATGAGGTTATGATGCCCGGAGCTCCACAGGGAATACAGTCAGGATCAAAAATACACTCCCATGAATGTATATGGAAATATGCAGGCGTAAACATAATTTGGAACTAGGAGTGGCTATGATTGTTTTGTTGGGCTGTGTTCACCTCGTACAACAAAAGCTCTCTCTCTTAATAAATGTTTATTTAAGCCTTTCATGGCCATTCAACGACATTTCTTCATTTTGGAAGTTCCCTGCTGAACAGTCATTATGATGGTAAAGAAAGCTCGTTCTTTTACATGTTGGACCTTTTAAACAATAAAGCATTACACATCAGTTAGTTTGACCAAGTTATCTTGTGAGAAAGGTGGCATCAGGACTTTATTCTATGTATCACTCGGCCTTGGTGTCTTTAATTCAGTCTAATGAAATCACAAAATGCATCAAACAGTCCTGATTCATTAAAGCTGGTACATCTGAATCACACAACAGACTCTTATCTGACTGGATGCATCATCAATTAAAACATAGACAATAAATGTACCTAATACTAACAAGTAGCTGCTGGTGGTAACCATAGACACAAACTAATTAGCGATGGCAGTGGTGCCACAGAGGGCTTGGGTTGCTTGGCAGACGCCTTGTTTCAGTTAAGTTGAGGATCTAGTTGAGTTGGTGGGGAAAAGTAATTAGTTAATAATTACTTCTTACTAATATGCTGCTTGCGTAACGGTTGTTTGAGAGCAATATTACACTCCAAGTCAATATCAGCACTGCCGCGGTTTGATTGAAAGGGACCATGTACAGTGTTAAACATACAAACGTTGAGAGAGTTAGCTTAGAGCTAGTGTACACCTGCAGTCCCTCTGCAAACATCATAGGTACAAGGCCACAGGAGGCCAAGTGCCAAAAAAACAATCACAGACGTGCTCCATTTTTTCTCAGCACTCGCTCTCGTTGGGTTGCTTAAATATCACATGAAAAGTAGTGCCGATGTGCTGAATATTATCACCGTCTATGATTGGGTCATAAGCACTAGGTGGCAGGTCGTTAGCCAAAGAAAATCATGGCCGTGCTGATATCAGTATACATCATAACTGTGAGTGTGATTATTACACTACAGTTGTAAAGCGGCATATTCTATTGGATTAGTGAACGGTAATAAACAAGACAAATATTTTCCTACTTTGTTTATGTCAGCAAGTCACCACAGACCAGCTACTTTGTATTATCCCCTCTGTCCCTCAGTGAAATAAGAGCCTTTTTGACAGTGGTTCTATTGCATTTGTTAGTCTGAGTTACCTGCTTGATTTGTGATGTGACGTTCATTTACACTTGTCAGAACACCTGAAGCTGAGTTATACTTGTAATTAAAAGTCCTAGTGCTGTTGTTCTCGATGTCAGTGCTTGTGAAAAGCCCCTTGTCCAATCAAATCATGCTCAGAACCTACTCTTACATAATCTTTAATATTTTTTGTACTTCCATGCCTCAGTGATGGATTATTAGCGCAAGACCTATATGGTCTGAGAGTAATACGGTAAGGGGGTCGTGACTTTTTTCTGCCTCGCCTTCTGTATATATTGTACATGCATTCTGGCCTTTGATTTGTGGAGTGTCATGTTACATTGTGGTGCAATCACACAAGTGTGCCTGGGGAATAAACAAGGCAGCGCTTTGGTTTTCAGGTCATGAAGAGGACTGAGTAGGAGTCGGCTTTACTGTAGATCACACAGCAGTAGCACCTAATGTTAAGGAGATTAGGCAGCCTGAGACGGAGTTGATCTAGAAATTTAGTCTAAAAAGACTTGTAATTAAACCTCAATTGCTGTCTTGTAACCCAAGTCTTGTAAGAGCGACTGAATCGACTGGGTTCTGAGAGCACAGGCCATCAGGAAATGTCAAACTCCTGGTTAGGTAACTGACATTTCTAAAGAGACTTAGCTGTCTCAGATATACAGAACATTCCTGCAGTGTACATTTGTTGACTCACGCTTTTATTCTTGTAACATTTACACGTCTAGAGAAGTCATTTTGGTGTAATCTGACTCCAGGGGTTGTAGTCTGCCAAGGATTATGCAACAGCTTTAATGCCATTTCAGCTGCCTGTTTTGGTGAGTGTTTCTTAAGCTGCCTGTTTCCAGGTGAAATGTGTGTTTTTTGTGCCGGGGTTTGGTTTTGACTTGACAGGCAAGTCAACAAGTACCACTTGAGTACTCCTGAAATGAATGTTCATCGTCGCTCAGAGCGCTCTAACTGTGTGTGTGTGTGTGTGTATGTGATGGCTTTTTTCCAGCCAGTTAGGATCACGTCAGGATGATATGGGGATTGTTATGAGAGCATTATGTGATGCTCGTGTGTGTACGCCTTGCTTCTCCCAGACGGCTGCTTGGCATTTAGAAAGGTTCTCGAGGGCTCCATTTCTCTCCGACAGGTAGGGCTCGTAACTTAAGACACACCGCAGATTCTGCTTACCGTCCGACACTTTCCAGGATTGAGTGTTTTAGGAACGTGTACATTGCAGGAAGCTCTTCCCAGGAAAAAAGAACTATGAGCCATTTTTGAGCAGAAAACAATCCCTTTAGAGCTACAGCTCAGCAGCATCCATCCATACATACTGCCTGATGAAGTCCACAGCTATATTTTTAGACACAGATGTCATGGCAACACTGGATACATTTTTGTTTAGTTGTAGAATTTACTGACTCTTGCCGAAAACAGCCTGAATAGATGATGTAACTCCTTGTGTAGAGATGTTTCCAATGCAGCTCTTGTGGAGTTTAATTGGAGGAACAAACATTTTTAAAATCCTTCTAAAACAGTTTGTAGTTCTCATTTTGGTGTCCACCCACTTCCATCACACTAAATTGGCTTCTGTTGAAAGTTACATATTTGGAGAAAAGTCAGGATGAAATAGGGAGCATTTCTTTTTCCGCCCACGATGCACTCGATCAATTATAATTTCACAACAAATGACGTCTCTTGTCCATTAAACGCACACCACTCACACTTCTGCTCGGCTGGGAATGAACCAACACTCTGCTCTTACTACGTCGGCCTCTATCACTGATGCTCTCAACCTACACACACACACAAAAAAAAAAAAAAACGGCACGCTACAACATGTCCGCGCTCGTCGTAACTGCAGAAATGTTGCAAATCCCAAACTGAAGGAGAAGAAGATGAGTCAGGAGGTAGGCCGGGATCTGGGAGTGCCAGTGAGGAGCCAGAAACTGGTGCAACCTGGCGTGGCATAAAGCACCGGCAAACGCAACGGGGGAAGACAACAGATGTACAGCACAGTGAATGTGTAAAGAACGAGTGTTCAGGAGAATTCTGTGAACAATATGAGTCAACAAGCTTTTATTCTGACTTCATCTGCTCTAAAATCTAAACTTATCTTATTGAATCTTATTGAAGGACCTGACTAAACCTTGGCACACAGTGGTAATAAGAACATTGTAGTTGTTTATGCTGTTTACCTGCCATAGAAACTGTAGCCTTATTTTAATGACTAGACTTATTAACGAGAAAAAAAACGAAGACTGGAACTTTAGATCTTTAGGAATGGTGAGATGAACTGTTGTGAAAATGTTTAGCAAGGTGTTTGTTCTCCTGAAGCCATGTCTTCTGCATGAGGATTTGCAAAGTACCTGATCAGTTGGCCTTTATTGCTGCTCTTTTTTTTTTTTTTTTTAGCATTGCTTGTCGTGTCATGCCCTCAGTAAAGATAATGAGACTCCATCAGGTTATCTGGAACAAGAAAGTCTTATTAGTAAGCCTGAACAATTTCCTCCTATGCCT